TAATAGAGAGTTTCTATAAACAGTGAAGTATATAGCAAATATTAATTAGAACCTTCACAAGAATGCTTCCATTTATATAACATTTTACTAAAGGATTTTTTTTTTACTTTAATTTAAAACGTATATTGTAGAGATAAGGGTTATTAGGGTCACTTTCCCTTTATTTTATTTATAGGAACATAAAATCCTGACTACAAACTTGCTATTGAACATTTACATTGTTATTGCTCAGGAAAAACAGTTCATTGAACACGTGTTGTAACAATGTAAATGGTGTAAATATTTACTGTGTAAACTGCCGGCACTTAGGATTTAATATCCTTTAATATAGGCTTTTTAAACAAAAGTCAAACAGTAAAACAATTGACACAACATTTTTAAAGGAAAAAGTAAAATCAAACCACTTTTTTTGGCCAAAAACTATTCTTGTGATCAGTAAATTGTATCAATTTATGTTGTTTTGGGTTTTTTTTTTTTTAAGACAATTGACATATATAATTTTGTATGAGTTTAAAACAAACAATTAAATGAAATCTAGAGAAATACTATTTCTAGATACTATTTTAATGACTTTAGTTACTCAGATACAGGCATTGTGTATTGGGTGGTATTACTTTAAATATTTTTGTAAAACAGGGAAGACCCCCTATGAGGCTCAGAACATTACCCTGAATAAATTTGCACTTTTGTATTAGCTGTGTCCAGCCGTGCCAGTAACCTCTGACCTTAGCTATTGTTAGTGCTAAGAGTGGACCAAGCAACCCTGACCATTCAGAGGAGCTGGGAATGGTCCATTGTAAAGGATTGCTCAGGGAAAGCCTATTTGTCAATGTAGCTGGAATGCTGAAAATCTGCCACAAGTGATATTGTCTTTGAAGAATTTTTCAATAGTTCTCTAATGCTGTGGTATTGATGGAAATCTTTGTAGTCCTCTAGGATGGATGCTCCACATCTGTCAGAAATCTCAGCACAGCACTGATTCAGATCACTGATTATTAACATTTTATCCTTCTGTATTTCTTTTTTAATCAGTTGTGATATCATAACTGAGCCCAATGACGAATGGTCACATTTTTAAGTGTAATTAAAGCCGACAAGCAATGAGCTGGCAGAAAGACATTAAACCGGCTCCTAATATTCATTGCTGTACATATTAGAGTTGCATTGATTGTGTTTTGTCGATTCAGTGTTCATTCAGCGACGAAACAAGTGATTCTCTCTTAGACCTTCCAAACACTTGTTCATGTCATAATAAAATGCCCCTTTAACAATGGAATGCATTCACAAAGTTCTTTATTATAATTATATGAGCTAATGAAATGATTTATAATTATTCTATTTTGTGTATAGAATTCTCATTTTATACAGCATTTTTTTCAATTGCTTATTACATTTTTACATTGAATATCAGAATATTGAATATCAAAATATTTTTTGTTCTGTTGGTTTAATGAGAGCAGCACTGCAGCGAGCATCTTGAGCTTAAATGGAAGAACATCTGTATTAAGTCGCATGATACACAATTTAATTCATGTTTATATAGCTACTAACATACATGTTTCAAAGCACCTTTACAGAAAAATGCTTCTACATTACATTTTAGAATATGTTATCAAAGGTGACTGTGTCAAAGTCACGTCAGAAATGTAAAGATACTACAAATCATGCAGTTAGCTACTATCATGTTATTATTTAGTCAGAAACAATGATCTCATGAATGCAATTACTACATGATGTGATCATAATGATTACATAGAAATTTTGTCAGTGGTGCATGTTGATTCAAAGTTGGAATCATCTGAAGTCCTCACAGGGGTTGGTGTAATCTCAACTCTTTACAGGTGTTAGAAATCTTCGTAAGAGGCTGAATTCAAACTGGAGCTGGTGTACTCTTTGGGCATCCCAAGGTAGAAACAGAAAAGCAAATGGGAAATAATTAGCTGCTGTTCATAACATATTAAGCAAAAGATAATCATGTGCATTTCATCTGATATAACTAGAGTACAAGGTTATAAGGTGTAGTATGTGAATTCAAGATTCAAACTAAAAATGAATCAACTGAATTTAAATATCTTGGTATCACCATTTTGGATTTGAATCTTAACTTCAAGAAACACATCAAGAAAATGACAAAAACTATCAAATATAACTTGGCACACTATAGGTTAGATCATTGCTCACAAAATATTTATGCAAGCTTTCATTTTTTCACATATTTCATACTGTATTACCTATTGGGGACAGGCAAGTGAATCTGCCATTAGAACTCTAGAATCATTATCTAAGCAAGCTATATAAATCCTTGATTAAAATAAAAAACATTTCGGTACCACAAGATCTTAGAGAAACACAATTTGAGTTTTGACAATTTTAGACTCTTTTTCAAACTTGACTCTAGTGTATACGATTCTACACAGTCTGGCCCAATGTTTACTGGTTTTTGTTTGCAATCACCCTGCGGTTTCTGTAAAATCTACCAGAATAGCTTCTGTTTTTGACTGTAACATACCCTTTTTCCGTTCAACCTTTAGACAATCTGCTTTCCACTACACAGTGGAATGCAATAACATACAATGACATAAAGAGCATAAAGAGTTCCATTAAGAGTTTTAAATCACAACTGAAATCTTTTCTGCAGACCACTCAAATCTACCCACTGACACTGAAGTGGTGCTGACAAAATGTGTTTTGTGGATGTGTGTAGTTGGCAACTTGGCATGGGGAGTGTTATTTATGTTTTTTGTTTGTTTGTTTTTGTTTTTTGTTTTACCCTGCCAGTGGACTGCATATGTAAATTAGCCTATGGCTAACTCCGGTACAATTCATCAAATGGTAACATTTATGTTAGACATTGGCAAAGTATGATTTCACTTTTCTAACTTAATGCTCAAAGTTTAAAGCAAAGGAAGATATTTGCTTTTTAAGGAGTAGTTCGCTTTTAAAAAAAACTTTTGCTGATAATTTACTCACCCCCATGTCATCCAAGATGTCCATATCATTCTTTCTTCAGTCCAAAAGAAATTAAGGTTTTTGATGAAAACATAGCAGGATTTTTCTCCATATAATGCACTTTACTGGTAACCAAACGGTTCAAGGTCCAAAAGACAGTTTCAGTGCAAACTGTTCAAAGGGCTTTAAACGATTCCAGGCGATGAATAAGGGTCTTATCCATAGACTGTAAAAACAAACGAAACGATCGCTCATTTAAAAAAAATAATAAATAAAATAAGCTCAAATGGTCGCCTTGCTCTGTTCTGATGCATGTTCGTGACTCTCCTATTTGAACTCGTTCATCAAAATGAACGAATCTTTTCCCAAGTCAATTCGTTCATTTCATTCGTTGAATGAAAAGACACTGGTAACTTTTCTCTTTTTTTTCACTCGAAATGATATTGTATGCTTATGAGTTCAGCCGCTGCATCCTCAGACATGCTCACGTTTTACATATGGATTTTACAAAATGTCAATGGGAGAAATGAATGGGAAATTTATTTACGGCACCAAAACTCTCTTGTGCTATCAAAGTAAATAGGTTCAATTTTGATTTCACTGGGACTTTAAAGGGAGAACAGTTTCTATCAATTTAGTGTGTCTGCTGCAGCTGCTAACACACACAGCTCTTGAAACCCCGCCCTCTGCAGCAGCTCTTTTGCATTTAAAGGGCCCAGCACTAAACGGTGCGTTTTTGTAAACCCTCAAAAAGTGACAACTTTAACATGCTATATAAAAATATCTGCGGGGTATTTTGTGCTAAAACTTCACACACACACAATGGGGACATCAGAGACTTATTTTACATCTTGTGAAAATGGCATTTTACCACCCCTTTAAACTGTGAGAGTCTGAGATTTGAACATTATCATAGAGTTTAGGAGCCAAATATAAAAATACTCTGTGTGTTTTTATGTACAGCCAAAAGTTTAGGTACACTTTAGGTACAGCCTTTAGGTTCACTTTAGGTACAGCCAAAAGTGCCCCAGAGTTTTATGACCTTAAAGAGTTAAATACAGCTGAACAGTTAAGGGCCTTAGATCAGTAACTATACTTTGTAATTGATACAGAACTTAATAGAAAACCAGTGTAGAGATGATAAAATTGGGTTTATATGACCATAAACTATATTCTTAACCTGGTAAGAATTCTAGCAGCTGTATTTAATTAAATAAAACTGTAGTTTTATTGAGAATCAGGGCAACCCCCCAGTGCATGACAGTAATCCAGTCTAGAGGACATAAATTGATAGCTTTTCTGCATTAGTATCAGATAACGTTCCGTAAACGTATAGACCTGGAAGTTTCTAAAATAACACCCATGTCTTTAATTAGAGGATGAAGTAAAAGTACATCCTTCTAGATGCAAATTGTATTCTAATAGGTTCTGTGTACAGGTTTTTTGTCTAATAAGTAATACCCCAGTCTTATCTGAACTTTGTAGAAGAAAATTACTGGTCATCCAATATTTTATATCTTTAACAAACTCTGTCAACTTAGATAATTTAGAGATTTCATCTGGTTGTGATGAAGTATAAAACTATAACAGTGTGGAAACTGAATCCATGTCTTCTAATAATATTACCAAGAGGCAGCATGCATTATTGAAAATAGCAGAGGGCCTAAAACAGACCCTTGGAGCACTCTATAATTTGATCAATGACATAACTTAATTGTGACCTATAATCTGAAATATTCCTTTGAACACGTTAAGTAACACAGTTTCTGAATGTCAGAAATGTTCAAAGTTTGTTAACCTATAGCTGAACATAGTAAATATTTTTAAAAAGGAAAACACCACAATACAGTGAAATTAACACATTTAAAATCACCCAGTAACATGCAAGGACACTATTAAGATTATCTTGACGATGAAGTCGTGTCATCTGGGTTTCCAAACAGTTCTATCACATTAATGCCTATGAATACATTTATTTATCTGATAAACATGCTGATATATTTGAAATTCTGTTAACCTTTCAAAAACATATTGAATTCTTCTCAAAAACCTTTTGACATTTAATTTATTTTATTGTATTTAAAACAGCATAGGCATTTCTTTTCCAGTGCCCCGAATCTTCCGCAGTTCCCCCAGGAACCTATAGAGTTTGCAAACCACAATTTGGGAAATTCTGTTATAGAAACAACAAAAGAGCATGTAATGCAGGCTGCTGTATCCTAATAAGTCTACTGGACATTAAAATATGGCAGACACAGTGCATTCTAACAAAGCTGAACTCCTTCAGAACAGTGTAATCAAAATGACTATGTATTGATGTCAGTTTTGGTTTTGCCCTCCATGTCCTTAGCTTTGCTGGGGATTTAAACATGGCATCATAACCAGACTGAGCTCCTTCACAACAAAGAAACAGTTATCAAACATTGTCAGTTTAGGTCAGTTCTGTTTGTGCTCTTCTGTGGTGTCCTGAGGCGGTGAAAGCGCCCTTGCTTTATTCTTGCGTGATGCTCTCCTTCCCTCTGCTGGAGAAGTCTGGGGTTGCGAGTCTGTGAGAAATGTCAGCAGAACATCTACACTCTGCTTCATGACAGAGTCTAAAACATTTTGTTCCTCCTGTGAAAAACGTCCCAAAACGTAACGGTCGACAGGGGTTTTGCCTGACGGTCGTCCAATCCCAATGCGCAACCGTGGCATCACCTGTGGACACAATCAGCGTGTGTTATAATGAACTTATACAGGAAATCACTATAGCTAATGTTTTGCTCTATGAAATATTTGCTAACTTACATCAGTATGAAGACAGTCCACACATGATCTCACGCCATTGTGACCCCTGAGAGGAAGAGACGTGATCCAATGACCAATAAAGTCAATATTAGAGAGAAACTTAAACCAATGTTATCAAATCAAGTCTGATAAAAAGTTTTCACTCACCTTGCACTTCCGCCATGTTTAATGCCGAACTTCCCAAGCGGTTTGTCAAGCTCATCGTGAATCAAGAGAATATGTTCAGGTGGAATTGAAAATTTGCTGGCTGGAAAAAATTATAAAAATAAAGAAGAAATAAATTTAGATTTCCAAAGATGGAAACAGGGTTGGGCGATATGACCAAAATCTTATTTTGATAACGAAATACATCAAAATAAATATATAACTAAAAATAAGAGCAAAGATTTATTACACAAATTAAATTTAAATGAAGTAATTTTAAAGTTTAAATAAGTATACAAATACAATACAAATTAAGAATAGTATAGTTTTTTTCAAGTACAGTAGGTTGGTTTAAGAAATAGTAAAGACATTGAATAAAAAGGTAATATTATAGTACATTATTAATATTATAACAAATAAAATACTGCATATTCTTTACTGTATACTATGAATTGATTATAAACTGGTTATTATTATTAAAGATACAAATGTTATTCAGTCAAAAGCAGTGAATTATTTTCTCTTTGTCTTTTGTTGTTTGATTAACATTAATGACACAGGTATATTAGGCTGCAGTCACTTTAAGACCTCATGCTCAGATCTAATATAATGTGATAATCTGATTTTCACCCAACAGTTCACGTGTATGTGAATAATCCACCCCATGGGTATTTTGACATAAAATGTGTGTTTATTTGACCATTGAAGCGCAATAAGCTGTAAAAGAGAACCGAATTTGGGATCGCACAATATATGTTGTCCCCCCAGCCCAAGATTGAAAAGTTAGTGGGTAAAGTAAGTGGATAATACAATCATCTCACCTGCTTTTGCCACACTCACACCATTGATGTTCATGAGCAACTTGGGTCGAAGAAGAACCAACTGGACGTCCTGAAGGTGTGTTACAAAAACCTCTCCTGAGACTTGACGGTCAGATCTCCAGCTGTCTGGCGTTCCAAAACGTTCTGCTAGCGTTGTAAGCACAGCCATACCAACACTATGTCGAGAGCCATTCATGCCAGGGTTTCCCAGCCCGACAACCTGAAACACAACAAAAAAATACACAAAGTGATTCAGTCATAGGTTTATAAAGGTCCTGATCAAATTAGTGCTTAGGTTTTAATAATAGACACCTCGGCTGTTATTAGTAGCCTATCTCATTAGTTTATTCCGATTTTGCTTGCCATATGCTCAGAATGGCCACTTTACAGCTTAATTTAATTTTTAAAATACGTTAAATGACTAAAACCTTAACGTTACTTCTATCAACAAATTAAATACAAACTATAACCCTAATTGGGTTATAGAAGTAGATAGAAATTGATACTTGTCACTATTGGGAAAGAGAATATTAGCAAAGAAAAAAATAACTAGTTTGTAACGAGTAACTTACTTGTAGCCAACTTATTAGTAACGTTACTGCAGTAAAACTAGTGTTGAAAAAGATTGTTTAAAAACTTTAAGAGGACTACTAAACAGTAATAGAGACTGTTAACTTATCTATTTTTCGGTTAGTCATAACCTATAATAATTTTAATGCCAAATAAAAGACTTGTTCAAAAAACGTAACGTTACCATTTTCCTTCTGTTACAGTCAACTGCCGTGGTTTGACCATTTATCATCTTCGGTGATGGCAGCGCGCTCGTGCTCATCAACACTCGGTTAATCAGCTTCGTTATCATCCGCATTATGAGAACCATTGGGAGGTTGAAAGCTTGAGTCACAGCCGTCCAGACTTTGCCTCGAACAGTGATGTTACTCATTATGAGTCATGGTAAGTTTAAAGTTTACCAAACTGGTCTCACAGTTTCGATGCGACTTTCATCAGACACATGTCGATTGCTGGTGAACGTTAACGGATATAATCGTGACTCCAAAACATAGAAACTACAGCTTATATAAAGCATAATTGGCAGGACATATGAATGATTAGAAGACGCTTTATTTGCGATTCATTCACGTGGATCAGAGGTCTTTACCGACATGGATCCACATGTTCTGCCCAGACAGAGCTGGTTCTGCCGTCCGTCAGCATGTATTGCAAGATTGCCAGATTTCAATTTTAAAATCCCCCTAACAAAGCAAATTATCAGAGCGAATTTGGGCGAAGTATAACAATTATTTCGGTCAATCCAAGAAAGACTTGAAATATATGTGAAACTGAAATGATGAAACTGGGATAGCAGTCTGTGTTTTGAACAGGTTTGTAAATTAATGGGTAGGTCCCACATTATTATACGTATATTTGGCAACGCGAGTTTGTTTGTCTGACCCTTTACAGTCTATGGTCTGACCTCGGAGAGTTTTAGTCCTCACAACCCCAGAGCGCCACCTATCGAGATGGTGGATGACAGTGCTCAGATAGTACCATTTGAGGAGAAATGGATCAGAGACAGTCAGAGACACATTTAGCCTACAAATACTTTCAAAGTTTGGGAAAAAGAAAACGTAACCCCATAGAGCCTACATTATCATAGTTGATACAAAAGGCTTCTAAATTAACAGCATGATCAAAACTTTGCTGAAAAACCTACACACAAAAACATGCCCTTGGTCCTCTTGATAGTTTATACTTTTAGCAAGTAAATTGCCTCTTAGTATAATTAAAATATATATTGATCTATTTCAGGTTGTGGTGCACATCTTTGTGCTGTGAAGTATTTAATGTGTTTAATGATCTGTAAACATAACAATTGTTGTTGTTTTTTTTAAATAACATCTATTTTATTGGGAGATAGAATGACATGACAACTTATATTTCTATACATTTTATGCAAGTAGTCTCTGTTAAAAAAGCATATTGATACACACGTTTTCGAAATTTCATGTTATGGCACATGATGCAGAAAATCTTTATGGATGATCAAGAAAATGTAGGTCTACTCATTACATATTTATCGAAAGAAAGAAAGAAAGAAAGAAAGAAAGAAAGAAAGAAAGAAAGAAAGAAAGAAAGAAAGAAAGAAAGAAAGAAAGAAAGAAAGAAAGAAAGAAAGAAAGAAAGAAAGAAAGAAAGTGATATGAAGTTCATTCAGGTGTCAAATAGAATAGCCCTAGTTCATCACATTCATTTAAAATGTAAAAGAATATTTGAACCTAACAATAAATGCTACTTGGTTTGATATTGTGTTATAGGATAATGCAAAGACATTCATGGATTTTTACGTGCGGCCTGCATGCATCCATTTAGACTGTGTTTGCTATCTGCTATTCTAATGGCTTAGTCAGATCTCAAATGGCAAGAAATAGAGAGTGTACCTTATTTACACCATCCCTGCTGTAATTGGAAATGTAAGCACAAGCCTGGATGGATGTTCAGATCTGCCTTTTCCATTAAATTAGCAGCAACACTTTATGACAATGTTTCATTTGTTGACTTTATAACTTACCTTCATTGGTTAACACTAACACTTAGGCCTATAAAAAATTACATGAGCCAGTACAATCATGAATCCATCTTCCAAACCACGTTTATGTAGCTATTTCAGGCCTAATGAGTCCCTACTCATGTTTTGTTTAAAATAATTCATAACAATTATTCTAAATATATAGGCTAAATGCCCGTGTTGATGTAACTGAGAAAAATGAGACTGATCAGAAGTAGACATTCTGAATATTATTTAGCATTAAGACAAGTGTTAACTGTTCAGAGTGCAATCATGTGCTGTTTTTATTTGCATTTATCATAGGCCTAATCAATAACCATTATAATGTTTTTTTTTACATTCGGATTTATCATAATCAATAACCATTGTGTTGCTTTTTTACATTTTTAAAAGTAAAGCTATACTTGATAAATGTTTTGGTAACACTTTACAATAAGATTCATTAGTTAGCATTAGTTGTATAAATGAAGATTTTAATAAAGTATTAGCAAATGTTGAAATTAACATTAATAAAGATTAAGAAATGCTCTAAGCTTGTGAAATTTACAGATGAAATCAGGAGCTTTATCATAACTGCCTTTAGCAACCTGCATCTAGGACACCAGATGTTTAAATCAGAATTAAAAATTAAAATTAATATTATCAGCCTATATTGTCTAACTAAATTCCGAACCATAACAACAATGGGGAATTAAATGCAAAGCAATAATAAGAATTACAACGGGGTTTAGATAAACTATAAAAATATCTTTATTTTTAAAAGCAACCATGGAACACAGTTCAACTATTAATATGCAAACAACGTTTCTGAACATATTTTCAAAACATACAACATACAAAAGAGACTTTCAGCTTAACATGAACAAGAAAGTGTGAGAGAGTCCATCTGTTTACATCCTGCTCGTCTTCGAAGCGTTCCTCCGAGGGCAGTATTGGCGCGTGTGCGCCCAGTCCCCGGTGGCCGCGCAGAAAGGACACACATAACTCCGCAGGATCGGGCAGAGGATCCGTCCGTCACGGGTTTTCAGTCTATGGCTCATGTACACCTCCTCGGTCTCTCCGTTTTTTATGCAGAAGCCGCAGGTGTCCCGCCGGTGGTCCCGGCTGGAGGAGGAGAAAGTAGTGCTGGAGGCGCTGCTGGATGAGCCGGTCCTCGTGAATCGCTCCTCGGGGATCACACACGCAGTCACGGCTTGCCTTTCCTCGCGATGCTCCTCCAGCAGCTGTGACAGAGTCTTGCGGAGATCCATGTAGTCCCGCCACATAAGGAAACATCCGTCAGCTGCGGGGAGAGTGCTCTCGCGATCGGTCAGAGAGGAGTGCTGCATCATGTCCAGTGTCATTCAGGTGTGTGTCACCCATAACCCCTGCTCAGTATTTATAGGGGAATTGTCTAAAGACTTCAGACAGGAATGTCTGGTCTGTCTGGGGCGTTGAACACCTGTCCCATTTTCGTGACCACTGGAAGGCTTGCTTGACCGAGGTCCTCACAAGGTCACTGGTTCAAGCTCGCGTTTTGGTTTATTGTGTTGTATCAATTAGCGGCACGTGCCAGACTGAGTGCACGCGCCTCTGTCTGCTTTCTGTAAACATTTAAACATTGTAACATTTTCAGGGCCGTGCATAGAATTTGTGGGATGCAGGTGCTGAAGTTAGAAAAAAATGGTAACTCTTTACAATAATAGTACATGAATAATATTCTAATACCTGAATTAATAATTACTTTACTATGAACTAATGGTGAGTTAAGACATGTAGCCTTTATGAGGAAATTAGGACTATGACATGAGTCATATGAATTCCTGCATGAATATAGGCTACCATCTTAACTACATGTTAGTACATGCTTGTTAATTAATGTATAGACCATTTTGAGGTTTAACTTTTTGATTCAGTTTTTTATGTTCTGTTGGTTGTATGTTATCCCAGCTTTTATGTAGGCTAGTGTTAAAAAACTGAAACAGGAAGTGCTTCTGGACCAGTTTTGTTTACATCTTGCAAAATGGGGTAGGGTAAAATAAATCAAACTTGCTCTAGAAAATGGACAAATTAAAATGGCCCAAAAGAAGAGCAAGAACTCTAACTAACATCCAACTGCATTTAAAGACAGCCAACCAATCCATAAAATAGCCATAAATAACCATCATCTGTGTTAACACTGATTTTAATTTTGAAAATTGCATCTGTTGATGAATATGTTAGTGTAGGTATTTCACCCTTGATGGCAGCAGTGGAATCACTTAAAACAGAATGAGATTAAATTGTTTTTAATGATGAATGCATCATTGTGTGTTCAATGAGTAAGGTTAAATGTAAACATTGCAAGACATCTAGTGTCATTCACTGATGTTTGTGACAGTTGTTGGTGTCAAATTTATAAACAATTTTACACTGTGCCCTTTTAGTAGGCTACATCTTTCTTCTTATCTAGAACATGTTTGATTTAGTTTACCCTGAAATGTTAATGAATGCATTAATTAACAATCTAACGTTTAGTTAAGATGGTATATTCATGCAGGAATTCATATGACTCATGTCATCCAATAGGTTAGTTCCTCATTGGTACATGTCTTAACTCATCATTAGTTTATAGTAAAGTAATTATTAATTCAGGCATTAGTACATGATTATTCATGTGCTATTATTGTAAAGTGTTACCGAAAAAAGGTCTTCTCATAAAAAAAAAAATTAAAAAAACACGGTTCCACTTAAATTTGATAGTCCATTTTAGACATTCTAACTTTAAGTAACTTTGCAACTATGTCAACTCTCATTAGAGTATTAGTAGACTAGAATGTCACTAGACTGTTATGGTTAGCTTTTAGGGTTAGTAGAAGGAGTTGAAAAGTAGTTGTAAAGTAAGGCATACTTGCAGTCAGTATGTCTGTTGGGGGACCAACAACATAAAGTGTGAGCAAATATTAAGCAGATAGTCAACTATTACTCTAATGACAGTTAGTTGACATGTAGCTGCAAAGTTATAGTTAGTAAAGCGTCTAAAGAGGGCTATCAAAATAAAGTGTTGCCAAAAACACACACAAAAAAAATGTAGGTAGGCTTACATACTGTACACTTTTAACTTTCATATTATTTATTTAAATAAATAAACATGTTTTTGTTGGCATTACGCTGGAATTGAATAAGCACAATAAATATTGTGCATTACTGACAGAAATTACTATTTATTATTTATTTTATTTTAGGCTATATGCATTTACACTGCAATTGGCAGTAATAATGTTATGAAATTAGTGTTTTAAATGTAAAATTATGAATATAGAAATATGAAATATAAAAAAATGAAATTACACTTTACTGCATAATATTTTTTTATATGAAACTGAAACCTCCAATGTACAACATAGCAGATACCCGATTAGACTTCACAATCATCTTGATGTAAAACTAATCCAGTTAGGTTAGGGTAGGTTAGGGTCCCTCACATGGTTTGCAGCTTGACGTGCTGTGAGGGCTTGTGAGCATCAGTGATGCTGAGAGCTACACCACAGTACTTCACAACTACTGGTAGGGTCACCCGATAGTGGACAGGTCTCAGCTGAGGTGCCAGATGGAGACAAACCACCTTCTGGGATAGGATTGGCCTGATTTTCTTGGCAGAATATCACAGTCTTTTGACTACGGCAACATACACCAGAATTACCTGTATGGAAGAAACTTTAAACTGATTACAAATGTGGAAGCAACCGTTCGAACAGAATGATGAAACACAGAATGGTTTAATATCGGTAAAGGTGTACAAGGCTGCATTCCTTCTTCAGCATTCTTGTAACAGCATCTATCCAATCAAATTTGAGGGCCGGTAATTAAATCATATATTATTGCTTCTTAAATGCTTCTATCCTTGTGGTAAACATTCAAAATAAATCACTTCTGAAATTGTTTTTAAATTTAGGCATATGATCACGTAAATTGATTGGAGCATTGAAAATTATGTAAACAACAATATTACTATAACAGGTAAAGCAGTAATCTAAAATTCTTAAACCAGAGCTTGACAAATTAGACTGTGCTTTGTAACATAATTATTAACTGATTATTATGGATCAAAACTTGCATGTTAAACATAACTAGTGCTATCAGTCATCTATTTAATCACAAACTAAAATTTTATCCTTACATATTTAATCAAAAACAATCACAGTTAGAAAATGCTGAAATCTGAATTTGTATTTAATTATTTTTCTGTCAAAATGCATTTAGTCTCTTCTGAGTGATAGATCACAGAATATGTAACAATGATTAATTACTGTGCATAGACTCTAAAAAAAAGATGGAAGACGGCCCTTCGCTCTTTTCCATCAGAGAGAACTGAAGCCGCCAGTGTCCAAGGAGGTAATCCATCGACCGGAAGTTGAAGCCTTGCGAGAGCTGCCATCTTGTAGCAGAACTTCACTTGCATTAGCATTTCCATTGACTCCCATTCGTTTTGGCGTCACTTTGACAGCGAATAACTTTACATCTGAGGCATTTTCTTTAAATTTGTCCTCATTTGTCCATTATTTATTTCTAAAGAAACACAACAATGTATAAAATGCTCCATTACATTGTAGCTTATGTTATGGCCCTGTAGAAGCAGTTTTTTTGTAAAAGTAGGCTAATGATTGCGTCATAACCAAGCGACTCTCTGTCGCACAGTAGAGAGATTACCATATGGACAGGAGGAGAAGCTCGCGGGTAATTGGGAAACGTGGAGGCAAAATGACAAATTAATTAATCAGAATACCTAGCAAAAGTTTCTCCAGCTCGTGTCGTGAGCAGGAAGTAAAGCCGCAAAATCATTCTCGCTGAATTGAAATGCAAGCACACGCCCCGCACTTTCATTAAGTGGCACTTTGTCTGCTTCGTTCCTCTCCAATGATGTCTGCTCTGATTGCAGAACCTCGTTAAAATAAGGTAATACAACTACTAACCACATAATCAACATTATTAAAGAAAGTCCGCTGGTGCTTCAGTGACTACCTCACACAGAGAACCTGTCAATCACAGCTGTCAATCATGATGTCAGAGCACCGTTTTTATAGCATCACATAACTAACTAAACACAAACTTATTTTAGAAACGAACACTTGAAATTATATCAACGTGATAGATGTAATTTACATCAACGCATAACTACAGTAAATGACAGAAACTATCTTTGGAAAAAAGATATGTGAAGTGTAATTGAATTGTTTAGTTGGTCTCACATTCTGTTGAATAACATGGGGAGGTGGGGTTTATGACCTATACTAGGACCGGTAACAGGAGGGCGATCGAGACGTTTTGGCCTCACTTTTGAGGGTTTGTGCGGCACGCTTGTTACTGTCACAGTGTCTGATTGTGTTTCTCTGCGTTGTCACTAGAGGTCCTTTTTCTCACGGTGCCTTCACATTTGACTTTTTTTTCCCAGCATTCTGTCTGTCATTCATCAGTTCATTGCACTCAGCTGTTTCCCATTACCTTGTTAGATCTGTGTGTATGTATACCATGGCTTTTTCTGTGTTAGTTGTTGAGTCCTTGTTATTTGTTAACAGCACTTCGGAGATCGGTTCCCATCTGTTGTTCTGTTCATATCTGTTTGTTCTTTTCCTATCCATTTGTTTATTGTTTTGGACTGCTCTTAACTGGATTTTGACCTTTTGCCTGCCTGGAATTACACTCACGGATTACCCAATAAAACTGCCCTTGGACTGTCACCCTTTTGTGTGTGTGTAGTGACAGAAGGACTCGACCACTAATAGATCCAGCAGTATGGGTACGATCCGGTTGGCATGTGGATACCGCATAGTGAGATTTTCCCTTCGGGAGAGGATGAAGGATCCTCAATATCCTTATTTGCATATTTTTCAATGTGTGCTAGAGGGAATGAGGAGACCATAGCCGCCAGGCTCGTACATGAGACCGTAACTTCCTCAGAGATAGGTAAGTTCGATGCCACCCACACGCCATCATGGACGGAGGAGGAGGAGACACAGTCCGTCTACCCAGTCAGAGACTGTTCACATTCTGTCCGCCCAGCCAGAGACTGTTCACGTCCCGTCTGCCCAGCCAGAGACTGTTCATGTCCCGTGTGCCAAGCCAGAGACTGTTCACATCCGTCAGTCCAGCCAGAGACTGTTCATGTCCCGAGTGCCCACTGCCCAGTCAAAGACTGTTCAGGTCCAGACAGAGACGGCTCACGCCACGTCTGTCCGGTTGGAGACGGATTGGGAGATACCCATTCTCGTGACCTAAACTCACTACTTTAGATCTTGGTGTCCTCCTGAAGCTTGTGTTCTGCAACGGCGCCTTGTGGTGCCATCATCCCAAAGAGACACAAAACCACTTTCAATGGCCTTTATCTGGACTGTTTCCTTCTGGAATGACCGGCGCAACTCAACACATTTCCAGAAACTGCTAAAGATCCAG